AAATAACCGACTTTAAATAACCGACTTTAAATAACCGACTTTAAATAGCCGACTTTAAATAACCGACTTTAAATAACCGACTTTGAATAACCGACTTTAAATAACGGACTTTAAATAACGGACTTTAAATAACGGAATAATAACGAGAGTAAAGTGGCGGAGCCAATGTCGTCCACCACATAATCTGGCATTGATCACCACCTGCAAAGATCTAGAAGTGCCAGATGTGAGAGTCTTGATTAGAGCACACTTGTTCCACGCACAAAATTCCAATTCGTAAACTGTCTTCTCATGCAATACGTATACGCATTTGAGCTTCATCAGTACGTGTAAGTACGACCTTCTCTGACAATAGGTATGGTCCGCGTTTTTATACGAGGGTCTCTTGTCGATTCTTTGAACGACGGTCAATAATGTCGGATGAGCGCCGGGACAGAGACGAGAGTTAAGTGGCGGAGCCATTGTCGTCCACCACATAATCTGGCATTGATCACCACCTGCATTGGTAGTCATATTCCGCGCGTGAAACCGCGAAGACGGAGGGCGGAAACCCACGACTTCCTCCCGGAGATCCGTATTCTGTGAAAGTAAATTATTCCTTGGCAAAACAACAGTAAAAACAGTTGAATATGAACATTTTCTTACAGAACCATGCCCGTCGTGGATTTTCTGTTACAAGTGTTGCAAACATTTTAAAAACTAGCAATATTGGGTACAATGAAAATGGCTTTGTAAAGAAAGTAGATTATTCTATGGCAAAACAACAGTAAACATTTGAATATGAACATTTTATAACATAACCATTCTCGTCGTGGGTTTTCTGTTACGAGTATTGCAAACATTTTTAAGACAAAAACTAGCAATATTGTTTACAATGAAAATGAATGTATAATGGCTCCGTAAAGAAAGTAGATTATTCCTCGACAAAACTACAGTAAAAACAGTTGATGAAACCTTGAATATGAACAATTTCTAACAACCATCCCCGTCGTGGATTTTCTGTTACGAGTATTGCAAACATTTTTTAGACAAAAAACTAGCAATATTGTTTACAATGAAAATGAATGTACAATGGCTCCGGAAAAAATCTCTTTAATCGCTTGTAGTTAAATAGCTACAAGCGGTTTAGGTGACTTAGGTCATCTATTGATGTCACTGAATCACCTTTGATAGGGATTCCTTGGTTTCTGTCTCGACAGCGGCAGGATTTTCGACACAAGCTACATAGCTAGGTCGAATTCAGCCGCTGTCTGGTGGAGGATTCTAGCGACGGCTGCTCATGCCGGAGTAGTACCCTAACAAACGGGCCACGGACCGCGCGCGATCTCCTCTTCCTCTTCCTTGTCATATCCTCGCCCCTTACTTACACACACTGACACACTTACGTGCACTACACTACCACACATGTCGGGACACCAGTCGGGAGCTTAGAGCTTGTCCGGGCTGGGGCAGTGTCCTACTGGTGGGAGACACCTGGTTGGGGAAAACCCACATAGTCGACATGTAGGTTGGCTTCGGATCTCACCAGCCAGCGGGAGAAAGTCACTGCCTCCACAGGAGAGAAAAGCGTGCAGTGCACTTACGGGACATTCGCAGTTGACGCGCCCTTAATCACTAATAAATAAAGCAATTAATTAATACTTTTAATTAATTGTAATAATTTAAAAAAATAATTAAATAAATACGTATATATAATAAGGTGTGTAATATACATAAAATATTTTATTACATATAATAGTAATAGTAATAATAATAATAATAATAATAATAATAATAATAATAACAATAATAATAATAAAAGATTATAAACCTTTACTGGGATGTGAGGAGAAAGAGACATCAGCTTTTCGTGCAAGAGATATTGATACACGGTCTGCCCCAAGAACTCAATTACGTGCGTAATAGAGTTTTGATTTAATTTCAATAAATTTGATATTTATAAAAAACTGTAGGTACGAGTAGTATTTAAATAATTCTTTTCATTCTTCAGTTACTTCATACGAATAACTCTAGCACTCCTGAACTCTTCGTCATATCCCTTAATGTAACTGATAAAATTGTCTGATATTTTAAAATGACTTTAATATTTTCTGCTCGAGTACAAGATTTGCTGCGCGAATACAAATGTGTTATGTTTAATTTTCAATTTCTTTCAGAAAATTTTTTTGAGGAAAATATTATCATCTGCGTTAGTCATGTTTATCAGTCGGAAGTCATGTTCGTTATTTTAGTTCACGAAAACAGGAAGGGGTAGTATCGAGACGGAACACAGCGAAGGTTAATTTTAAGAAACACAATGAGCCTTCGAGGGGAAAAACCCGACAGAATTTCAATATGAAAATTCACATAAGCGTAAAGAGCGCTTAAGAGAGTGGCGCAGATCTCATTTTCGTTGAAATCCCTTATTTTTTCAAAAATTACAAAAGCTCAATTTTTCTCGGACTGCTCCTACATCAAAATATATAAGAGATTTTTCTTTAATAAATTCTGTTGATTTTTTAAAAATGAAATCTATTGTAAACATTTTCCCAACTATCGCTCCAAATATTTTCTTTAAATTTGTTCCACGGTTAGAAAAAAGGGTTCTTAAATAATAGCGTAAGTCTCATTTTCGTTGAACTCTTTGAATTTTCAAAAATTGCGTAAGTTAGAAAAAAGGGAGATGCCATCAGTTTGTTGGGTGTCACCAAATGTGAGCGATAAAGCGCATAATGAGTTAATTCCATGGATCTGAGTTCGAATCTCGGCGTGGAGAAAACACTTTTGCTAGTTGGAAATGCTTTCGCAGGTTCATGTATAATATTGCGAAGGTGTAACAAACAATGCGGGTGTGTTATTACAGCACCACTAATTAAAGAACTATTTTCTGTGCGTAATGGTTTTGAGTTTCATCATAAAATATTTTTTAAATATCTGAATCTAAAACATCTATTTTTGTTTCAGGAATACAGCCTGTGCTACTTGGTGAATTTTCACCAGGTAAGTTGATTAAACAAACTAACAATTTTTATAGATTCATTTATATTTTAATTCCTTAACTTCATTCGTGACTACGTGTTATTTTCATTTGATACTAATGCATTTTATTCAAATATTCATTTAGCACATGTTGGCCGGGTCTCACAGCTTATTGGTTATGGCAGTACCCGCGATCTACGTGGTCTACGTGATGGAATCGCACCTTGGGCATAGTTGTGACGTGGTGGGGCCTTAAGCAAACCCATGAATGACCTTCCAAACCTCATTTCTTCATTTTCACTTCATTCACTGCCCGAATGTTGTAAGAAGGGGATGATTTAATGGCTTGCGATTCAGGGGGAGAAAGCTCCGTAATGGGTTTAAAGGCCGCCACACGCCAAATGGTCGCCATAAAAACTCCCTACGCATAAAAGGGTTCAAGCGCTGCCACAGACTTAAAAGTCACACCCTGACAAGATAGTAGTAATAATATATAGTTATTATATTGTAAAATTATTATTATCATTTCTATTATTATAGGGTGGTGATGAGAGGTAAAAAGTCTAGAATGATGGTAGGAAGTGTTAGATGGGGTGGGGGGAGAAGGAAGGTGTTAGTGGGATTTTGGAACCATCCCAGCATTCGTCTTGAGATTGAGGAAAAACACGAAAACCCCGGTAAGGATGGCTGGCCCAGGGATCGAACCTCGACCTCCTGATTGAGAATCTAGCGCGGAATGCGCTGAGTCGCTATTATTATTATTATTATTATTATTATTATTATTATTATTATTATTACTAATGTTGTTGTTATTGTTCTTGATGTTGTGTTGTTGCTATTATTATACGCGTAATAACAATAAGAATAGGTATAACAGAATCCCAGTAATGAAACCTTTAGAACCTTTAAAGGGGTAATTTTACGTTAAAAATGTTCATTTTTAATCGATCAATTTTTCCTGTGTCATATCCCTTTAACAACAGAAGATACGAAGATTGTTCTCTTGGTAGTTACTTGGCTGTCCGAAAGACACGGGGTCTTTTTCAGAGGTTCCAACGTTTCGGCCGCTATCATGCAAACTTCCTCAGGGCAAAATGCGATTTCTAAGTATGTAGCTATTGCCGCGGAAGCCTACGCTCTCAAATTCTTCTTTTGTGCAGATGACGCTGAACGGCACATTTATCTTCACTCCGTTTACTGACTGCAGCGCGAAGGCACTCGCCGACACCTCCACCACCTCGCATCTGACCCACAAGGATCGCGCGATGCTGTGCCAAATGCAGACCGTCACTTACGACTGCCAGAAAGGTACTAGGAATCCGACATCGACGAGTAAACATCAATGTTGCTGAACACCGATGTCAAAAATTAAAACATCAATGATAATCATACATCGTCCAAAAAATATTTTTGAACATCGATTTTTTGAAGTTTGTTTAGTATCCTGTACTATTAAATTCGTGTGCAACAAATTTTAATTTGACAGTGGCCGTACTTATTAATTTGTGATTATAACTTAACTAAAAACAAAGTTATACAACGCCTCTCCATGTGCTAAATACAGGAAAGACGAAGGAAATACTTGGCAATCAGGATCATCTCGAGCAAGGGATGGTGGTCTGCGCGGTGAAGATAGAACAAATTGCGTTTGTTTACATCGAATACAAACAGATATTGGTACCATCTGTTCCTATTTATCATTTTAACTATTACAAAATTGTGATTGCGGGCATCTTTCATCCACGGAAAAAACAATGAAATGAAAAAACATTGAACCCAAAACAGCGATGTTAAAAAACATCGGCTTCAATACATCGATGTTTAAAACATATGTTAAAACAGCTGTTGACGTACCTGGAAATACGAAATAATCAATATTCTGAGGTCCATCTTAGATCCTTTCATGTACTTGTTCTACATGTACCTGAATGGCTTTGCTAGGTGACGTTAAGTTATTAAATTATTAGAAACCTACACAATATCACTGTCTCATGAATTACAATATTTGGGTTAAGCGATAATAGTACGTTATGCAGCAATGATTTAATGATGGATATTAATACACGAGTGTGAAATACGATACGAGCGAGGAACGAGCTAGTATCGACAACTTCATATCAATGTATTAATACCCATTACACCGAGTTTCATATGGTACTTTTTCTACGACTTATGGGAACTTTTATAAGAATAACTTTTACATTGAATCGTTTTGCAGCAGTTTACATGCGGGATCAGCCATGGCCACCAAAAAAAAAAAACACAGCTCACTTCCCTACCCTTCTGCAGGAGGCTTTGGTTTGACCAGTCTGCTGCCACTGCGCTGGTCAAATAGGATCAAAGTGAAATTACGATCCAATTTGTTTTAAATAATATGGCTCGTAGAAATTACAAATAATAAAAGGAATTAAAACTGACAAGCATAATGTAATGTTGAATGCAGTTTTAATGTACACAATTGAACGAAACGTTTACTAGAAGGATTCTCAATGATTAATTAACCCTTTGTTAGGCACGTATGGGTCTAGAAGACCCATTTCATTTTAAGAACTCAATATCTCGCTGGTCGTAGGCAGAGAGTATGTCGTAGGTGTAAGGTTATGAGTTCTGGTGACATCCTGTGTCGAACGATTGTGCATCCGGTGGCGAGGTTACCGCAAGACATACCAGAGGGCGATAGGTCACATACTAGTTCGTCTTTCCGACCGGGCGCGACACCTGGGACTGCCAGAACCCACGCGCCTACAGGGCTGCAGCCCACGCGCAGTTCGCTGAATTTCTCCGTGCCGTTGAGTTGTGTTCCACTCGCGCCGAATCTTTCGCGTACGTTTCTTGTGTTCCTGTCAGAGTAATGTAATATTCTGTCTGCGCTGTACGGTTTTCAATACGAGTGCATAAAGAACGCAGTTTCATACTCCAACAATTGGAGAGAAGATTCACAATTACTAGTCTTTTAGGAGAAATTCAACAAATGCTAACTAAATACAGAAAACAACAAAATAAAAATACGATTACCACAAAGTACAAAAATAAAAAGTGTCACTCCTGCTGCAAGGAAAAACAGATTTCCGGTAAAAATATGTTGTTGAAAAATGTGATAATTTCTTATGTTTAGACAATCATGCAAAAATTATTTGTTAAAACTATCGTAATGTAAATACCACTGGTAATATTAGTGATTGAAACTGAGACATAATTGTGACTTACTGTTTAGTATTTCTTTACGCAATCTGCTGTATTCTTCTTCTTCCACAGCATTATTAAAGTAAATCAGTCATTATATACACAATGAAATCAAATTTATTTCTCAATAAATAGCATCCAAACACTTCCTCGCACGACGTACATAATAAATTTTCTCCAAATACCTATCGAATGTCCTAGAAAATAAAAACAAAGTAGCATGGATCTTCTGGACCCGACGCGCCTAACCGCGAGCCAAAATATGGCGCGCCTAACCAAGGGATAGACAGTTATTGTAGATAGGGTTAGGTAGTAAGGGTTGGTATAGGGTTGGTTAGGTGTACAAGAATTTGGGTTGATACTTGCTTCGTAAACTTGTCTTTAATTTGTCCAGAATTTGTATCATAATGAATTTGTAATTAGTATCATTATGCAACGGGTTGCAGCCATCAAATGATAGAATCATACAATAGGAGTAGAAAAAATGCATTTCGGTTGGCCCAGTGTCAGCATGACAGTAATCTGGACTGTCCGGGTGACGGCGCGTTGAAGGCTGAGGTGCCTATGTTTCGACGGACATATCACGGTCCTCTTCAGGGCTATACTGCTCTAAGAGGGAAGAGAACCGTGATATGTCGGTCGAAACGTCGGCACCTCAGCCGTCCACGCGGCTTCACCCGGACAGTCCAGATTACTGAAATGCTTACACCGGGTCAACAGAAAGGCATTTTTCCTGACACCCGGACAGCCCAGATCATGACTTTGGTCGCGTAAGCCTACGATATCAACATGCCAGTTGTTACGGCCGTCTGTCTCGTGCTTTGTGTTCCAGAGATCGGAGGAAGGAATGGTCTGAGTGCACAACGGAAGGCGATGGAGTACAGACTGTGCCTCTGCGAGGGTTTCATGAGACAGGTACGTTCATTTACAAGCTCCCAGATCAGATTTAAGGGTGGACGAGCCGTCCCAGGGGATGCCACCAAATTAAAAAAAACACGGGGGAACATTGTGGGTTAAACGAAAGTCATACGATGTAAATCAAATAAATATAGTTTTGTCATCATTTGAATACCAAACGGGAAGAAAACATCGTTGTAGTATACCAGATCCATGATACAGTATCATGGATCTGGTATACTCCAACGGTTCTTGTTTTTCGGTGTATATTTTTTATTCACAAATTTTAATTGTATATTTACTTTATAAAATTGAAATGATTTTATTCTTTTATGTTTTAATTTTATATTTACACTATTTTCTCTTCATATGGCACAATTTTTCTACGACACATAATGACAACGCAATAATACAAACGCCTAGAATACTTTCCCTAATGTGGAAATCATTTTGAAAATTTATTTTATTTTGATCAAAATTAATTTAACTTCCGAAAGATCGCGAGCAACATTGACTCAACATCTCAACTATCTCGTTATTTTAAAAATCAATAACGATATTCTGATAGAAGTTTTGACGACGTGATTGATGATTTTGCCACATGGAGAATGCCTCATTATCGTATTTAAATCCACGTAAAAGGTAACCAAAATTAATAACTAAAAAAATTAAAGCGTTTTTGATCTCTTTCATAAAAAATCACTCACCCAAGGGGCCGCCACCAACTTTTTTCCCAGGTGACAACAATAAATTCGACCCTGTCTTTGCCGCGGTGTGCCCGTTTCTCGAAGGACCACTTAACCTTTAATATTGTACTGTCACCATCCTTTAATTAGGTTTTGCGAGTCTCAGTAAGGCAGATTTTGGATTTTTCAGTAGTATACAATTCCATTTGCTGTAACACACAACCTTAATAATTTACCAAGTTGTTCATCAGCTTACTGCTTCGAATACGTTTTCAGAATTGTGACAATATTGCCACAGCAAAGACACGTGAGATGGAAAGAATCTCTCACGACACTCGGAGTATTTGCGCCTTTTTCTCTGTTGGTAGCGCTTTGAGAGACTGCTTCGAAGGAGTGTGGATGCTACATGCTCGTTCCTGAATGTTTATTTGTGATTATCAAATATTTAGAACTTGTGCCATTAAAATGAAAGATTTATTGATTGATTTAGCTTTTTATAATTTCAAATACTATCTTTCATTATTCAAATATTACTGTTGAGTAAATAACGTTTGTTGTGATTTCGGCAAACTAACTTGGTTTACGAGTAGGTTTAGTTGCCAGTGACCATTGTGTGAGATGATAAAATTTAGAGGGGCACAATGTTTCTAAATTGTTGGTGCCGATGTTTCGACCTAGTTAAACTTTAGGAACATTTTTTTAATGGTCGTAATATTGTATATTCCGTATATCAAGCCAAAATAATATGTACCGAAAATGAAGCTGGTATTGGCGAACATAAGTTGGTTTTTAGAAAAATAACTGTCGATACTCAAAACAGCTCTTTATTTTAAGAAATCTGAAATTGAAAAATGCATTTGTGGAAAAGTATTAGCTCTTTCGCGTTGGAATTTTCATCAAAAGACTTTATTTTCCATACTGAATACCATGAAATTATAAAACTAAGAAAATGTTAATGAGATCAGGAAAAAAGAGCACAAATTGATATTTTGTAATATCATTAATCGTTTGGGCAAAACGGTACCATATAGTAAATCTCCTTTTAATTTATGACAATCTAATATTATCTTTTACTCGCCAACTTTTTTTGAACGATGATTTGAATAAATGCGAGTATAGTGGGGGTATTAGTTACGAAATCGGCCACTATATTTTATGAAGCAATGCCAGTCTCTGCAGAATCAGTCATGCCTTCGCAACTTTCTCAATAATTTGTTTCTAACTTTATCAAGAGTTCTAAGTATGTCCGATGATGGAACTTCACCTGCTTCGGTCATTTCTTTAGATTTTTTGGATAAAATCACGGACAGTAGAACTTATCAACAGAAATTAGTTTCTATTTCGCGCCAGTGAAGATGTGATTGGAATGTTGTCATCACTGCTCGCTGCGAACTTCAAAAGTTTATTGAGCCAGGGTGGGAGGGTAAAGGTCATCGTTGGAGAAAAGTTGCGGGATTAATAACAAGGCCCCTCTTGGGCGTGGGATTGTTCTGTTGTAGGTCAGAAGTCCGTCCCTGCTAACTTCCTCTCCAACAACGGCGTCCTGAAAGCAGACGAAAAGGCTGGCTGGCTGCCTTGCTCACTGATGTCTTGGTGAGGAAATAAAACTAAAGTTTTAAAATGTAACGCTTTCTTATTTTCCCCGTATCCCGTCATAAAATCCTGTCGACATTTGTTGAACACGATGTTCGAAATGAAATCTTTTCAAGTACTCACGATAAACCTTTAAACTTGAATGTAATTGGAAATGAATAAGTATATAACTGATTCTAACAATGGACGTCCTGGTCATCGTAGGGTCATTTGTATTGTCCGGTCCATTGCCTGGTGTCTTCAGGGTTTATAATCTGCCATGTGCAGTGTCATTCAGCAAGTTGCTGCAACTTCTACTACGCTTCTACTGCTAGTAATAATAATGATAGTCATACAGTAAATACTAGGTATTCATGGCTAGAAATAAGCAATTTACTCTCCTTTTGCATCAACGTTGTGGTCACATGTAATTTGTAATTTTGAAAAAAATCAGTTCTGAGTAACACAGAGCAGTGAGAAACTCAGAAATCCAATTTTTTTGGAAAGTTTTTTTTGGTACATATATTTTATAGTTTTTGATGGTTTGTAAGAAAAATCTCAAAATGGATAATTTTGGGGTTTAAATGGAATTTTTTTGGAATTTTTGGGTGCTAAAGGTACAAAAATTGAATTTTTAGGCACGAGAACATAAACACTTGTTTAATGAAAGAAATATAATTTTAATCAAAGTGTGTTTCTTCATCTGTTGTGGACGTTTCACCCAATTTTAACAAATACTTGAAAGATAAGTATTATGTTGAATATTTTGCATATTTTTAAATTTACGAACTGATTATTTATTTTTAACAATCTGTGGTAATTATCAATAGTACTGCATATATATTTAGAGGGATATGTGCATCATTTAATCATTACCAAGGAGCCAAAGCAACAACAAATAGTCATTTTTGGTGATTCTAATCAGTTATCAGTAGTTATTGAATACTATTTTAAATATAAATATAAATTTAACATTTCCATAGGTAATTAATGCCAATAAATAACAATTAATAATTTACTAAGAATTAAATTTCAGATTATTTAAGATTAAGAACTCAAAATATAAATTGATGTTCACATAACCAAAATTATTTAATTACTTTATTTCAATATCCATTTTACAATGAAAAATATTCATTTTGCAATGAATTTCAAAAATGACGATCAAAACAAAAATGTAATACATCATACAAATTTCATTATTACGCATTTCTACGTTGTTTCCATTTGTGTATGTTATACATGATATGTCAATAAATTAGTCTTCATTATTCTATCAATATCACAGTAATTATCACTACCAGTGGAATATAAACTCGTTAACTGATCTTGTCTAGATTAACCTCTTATTCTTTTGAATATACAATTGATGTAGAGTTTATATTTTATCAATAATAACAATATTGTTTACTAAAGAATGAAATAGGCAACGCCGAGGCCTTTTCAAGGATAAGAACATTTGGAGAACAAGGATTAGATTGTTTAACAAAAAATTGTGAATTTATGTACCTTGGTACTACAATGTTTAAATTCCTAAGTTTTTAGTGGTTTATGTGTTGTTAAATTTTCAACACCAACGTTCAATAATTAATTATAATCAAAGATCACCTTTATATATTTCAGGGTATCTAATTCTACAGTATTATTTATTGAGTAGGCATAGATCCATAATGGCTCTTGAAGTTCATGAACTATTCAAATTAATTTTTCAAACATCACAAATTTCTTAATAATATACACGATATATATTTATTATAAATAATAATAATTTCCTTGCGTTTTACTTTAATTGGGAATATTGGAGAAAATTGTTTTCATTTTTATCATTGAATTAAATAACATGTGTAAATGTATTTTAATTTTATAAATTGTAGTCATTGTAAAAAGAAAATCGGGATATTATATTTATTTTTTATTTATTTTATAGAAGTAAAAAGGGAAGGGGCATAGTATATTTGAACTTGCTCAGTTTTCAATAATAAGTGATAAATTTTAATAGGAATACAAATAGTAACATGAACTCAACATATTGCCGACAACAGCTTGTAATATTTATTTCATCAAAAATTACTTTTCTTCTAAAACAATAATTACCCTGAGTTATTGTTTGTTCAGAAGTTTTATTTTCCACTTAGTAGTTCGCCAGAATTTCGTGTAGGTGTTGTTGTAAAGGATTACAAGTTTTCCTGAAAACAGCAAAGTGGTGATAACTTTAAAAAATGAAATATTCTTATTACACAAAAAATGTAAATAGGCCCATACATATAAGTCAATTCTCATGTCCAAGGTGACATGAGAATGGACTTATATGTATGGGCGGTTTGTGGTTGGAGGTGGTTAAACTGACAACCCTTAACGCCATGACCTTTGACAATCAAAAAACTAACATCTGACCAGTTAATATAGATTAATTAACGGCCTATATGTATTTTTAAACAATTTTATATCAAAGTAAACAACTCAAGGGAAAAACTCTCACCAATTGAGTTGCGAACCACACACGTCTCATTCAACTACATCTCCGGGGCAAGGAAGTTGGGAGATATCACACTCTTGCAAGAACAAGGATGAATCCGTACGAGAGCATGATGAGCGAAGGAACACAGTAGAAAGGGCTGGGCAGGAGAGGTAGCAGGATGGCCGTAGCAGGACTGGTAAGGTGTGGGGGAGCAGGGTGATAAGTGGGAGGAAGAGAATGGTTGGGTGACGAACATGTGTGGGCAAGTCGTCCATGGTTGGACGGACAGAGCGTGCGGGAAAAACAGAGTGAATGGGGTGGGATGGAGGAGCGAATGATGAGTGAGGTTGGCAATAGCAGGGGCGGAGTACGGTCTGAGGGGACTCTGGCATGGCGAGATGTGAGGAAGCGAGTGGAAGGAGTTGGAATGGCGAAGAGAAAGGTGTATGTAGGTTGGCTGTAGCAGTACGGATATAACCAGAGGGGACACGGGCAAAGCATTATGAGTGGGAGGAAGGGTTTGGACAGGCGAAGAGCCAGGTGAAGGCAAGTCAGCCATGGTTGGATGAATAGAACACGCATTGGATGAATAGAAGGGGCTGGGCAGGAGAGGTGGCTGGTGCAGGCATTCTGGCCGTAGCAGGACTGGTAAGGTGTGGATGGCATGGCGAGATGTGAGGAAGCGAGTAGAAGGGGCTGGAATCGCGAAGCGAAAGGTGTATGTAGGTTGGCTGTAGCAGTGCGGATATCACCAGAGGGGACACTGGCAAAGCGTGATGAGTGGGAGGAAGGGGCTGGGCGGTCAAAGAGCCAGGAGAAGACAAGTCAGCCAAGGTTGGATGAATAGAGGGGGCTGGGCAGGAGAGGTAGCAGGTTGGCCGTAGCAGGACTGGTAAGGTGTGGAGGGACGAGGGTGTTAAATGGTAGGAACAGAATTCTTTGGTGACGAACATGTGTGGGCAAGTCGTCCATGGTTGAACGAATAGAGCATGCGGGAAAAACAGAATGAATGGGGCTATGATGGCGGTGCGAATCGTGAGGGTGATTGATTGTAGCAAGGAGGGGGTATGGCCTGAGGGGAGACTGGCATGGCGAGATGTGACAAACCGAGTTGATGGGGCTGGAATGGCGAAGCGAAGGTGTAGGTCGGTAGCAGTGCGGATATAACCAGAGAGGAGATGGGCAAAGCGCGATGAGTGGGAGGAAGGGGTTGGACGGACAAATATCCAGGTGAAGGCAAGTCAGCCAAGGTTGGATGAATAGAGGGGGCTGGGCAGGAGAGGTAGCAGGTTGGCCGTAGCAGGACTGGTAAGGTGTGGGGGGAGCAGGGTGATAAGTGGGAGGATGAGAATGGTTGGGTGGTCAGCCATGCGTGGGCAAGTCGTCCATGGTTGGACGGACAGAGCGTGCGGGAAAAACAGAGTGGATGGGGCTATGATGGCGGAGCGAATCGTGAGGGAGATTGGCTGTAGCAAGGAGGACCGGCATGGCGAGATGTGAGGAAGAGAGTGGAATGGGTTAGAATGGTGAAACGAAAGGTTTATGTAGGTAGACCGTAGCAGTCTCTCCTCTGGTACGGGCAAAGCGTGATGAGTGGGAGGAAGGGGCTGGGCGGACAAAGAGCCAGGAGAAGACAAGTAAGCCATGGTTGGATGAATAGAACGCGCGGGAGGAAGAGAGTAGAATGGGCTGCACTAATAGAGCGTGCTGTGGGAACAAAGCTGGAAGTATAGGAAGGAGGTGAAGCATGATGACCGCGAGGAACAGTAAAAAAAAGCTCTATATTCGGGGTGGAGTGTGGAGGCAAGTAGGCTATAGCAGAATGGATAGGACTTGTGGGGGGGGGAGGACGATAGTTGATGAACGGAAGGATGTAAATGGGAGTAATTGGATGTGGAGAGAGGTGTGTGATGAGTCGTCAATAACTGGGTGGATAGAGCAATCTGGAAGAATAGAGAAAAGACGATGGACGGGCAGGGCTGTATGAGTGAGCTGGTCGGCTCTTGCAAGACGGATAGTGCGTGCAAGGGAGGCTAGTGAAGCTTAATGAGCGGAGGCAGAGTGGAAAGGGTTTGATTAATGAGGCAGGAGAGGTGGACAGGTCGGCTACGGCAGGACGGAAATGTTTGCGTGGGTAGCGAGCGAAGCCACTCAAGTTTTACAGAGGCTGAATGGTTTTAGTTGGAGGTGAGAGTAACTCGGTCATGTCAGTACGGATAGCGCATACATGGATGTCGGCCAAAGTATGATTGGAACAGAGTGGAAAGGTGCTGGAGGTGTGGAACTCAGTGACTAGCAGTTGTGATTGGGCTTGCCGGGATGGAGAAATGGATAATAAACTGTGGGAAGGTGAAAGTGGGTTGAAGTCGTAGGCTTCCGCGGCCAGACTCATGTAGGTGATCTGGGCTGTCCGGGTGACGAAGCTGTGTTGCCAAACCCAGATCACCCACATGACTCTGGCCGCGGAAGCCTACGACTTCATTTAACTACCCTCTACGGGGAGGAATTTTACAAATTTACCAAAACATTGGCAACACCGCCTTCGACGCGGCGTCGCTCGGACAGCCCAAATCACCCACATGAAAATGGGTTATTCGGATGGATCGAGAGGTGTGTGCAGGTCGAACACGGCTTGAGTTCGGATATGTGGGTAGAGCGAAGTTCCTTAACACTGTAAAATTCTGAGAAATATTTTGGTTACATCAGCAACTCTCAAATATTTGCAACGTACCTCTGGAACGTCGTGGTCTTGTACATGGGATTTCGGCTCAGTGCATCTCGCTGTAATCGCACACGCATTTACGTATGGCCATGACTGCGGCTACTCCTTGGTCGCCTTCTTTCTGCTCTTTTTTACCTGCGCACACACACACATACACATGTAAAAGAATATTTACGAGCTCTGAGTGAAGGATACTCAACCCTGGTGGTGGAGGCATGTCACGGAAGCAGTCGGCATGAAATCGGACTCGTTTAGCTTGGGCGATATCGTGTGGTAAATGAAGGAACTTATCTCGACTTTTGTCTACGAATAACCACCGCTGGGCACGTACTTTACCAACGCAATTTTCACTTTAGCCTGTGTCAATAAATATAGACTAGCGGACCAGTGTCAAAACTCTCGCATGTTAAACTACGTCCTCTCCTCTATCCTTCCACTTCCAAAATTGGAGGGAAAGTTGTTAACAAAATGTTTTTATTTGTTTAAAAATGTTTAAAGGTAACTTCCAATGTACTTATATAATATTAAATAAAAATAACAAACAATAAAATTGATGTTTGAAACAAATTTTGAGTAAAGTAATATTCAGTGTTATTGACAGGTTTTTGGAACAATTCACAGTTCTTTAAAATCATTTGAAATAATTGACAATCTTGCTTGACATGAAGGTTTTCGCTTTCCTTGCTAAACATAACAATATTCGAAAAGAATTCTACTCTTAAGAAACCTACGTAATGTTGTTCATAGGAAAATATAGGATTGGTCACGTTCAACTTTACTCGTTGGAATGGAGAAGAGGACACTGTCATCCAATAGGGAGGTTCGTAACTACCTAGCGCGGTGTTTACCTTTTTCGACGCAGCCCCGAACATCTTGTTTGATGGCTTCCTTGTTGTCACAAATGCTCTTGAGCGGGTCTTCGTCGTCCCTGGCGGGTGCCTTCGCGCAGCTCTCGTCCAGTTTCTGCTCAGCGGTGACCAAAACGTCCATCTTGATCATCCTGTTGCCATCTAGCTGCAAGCACATTTCATCTGTCTATCCCGTCTCTCTCTCTCTCTCTCTCCCACTCTACCTCTATCTCTCCATCTCTATCATTCTCCCTCTCAATTTGTACCTCTCTCAATCTGTACCTCTCTCTCTCTCAATCTGTACCTATCTCTCTCAATCTGTACATCTCTCTCTCAATCTGTACCTCTCTCTCTCAATCTGTACCTCTCTCTCTCAATCTGTACCTCTCTCTCTCTCAACTGTACCCTCTCTCTCTCATCTGTAACCTCTCTCTCTCAAATCTGTACCTCTCTCTTCTCGGAATCTGTACCTCTCTCTCTCTCAATGCTTTCCTTCTCTCTCAATCTGTTACCTCTCTCTCTCTCGAATCTGTACCTCCCGTCTCTTCTCATCTGTACCTCTCTCTCTCTCATCTGTATTCTCTCTGCAATCGTGCACCTCTCTCTCTTCTCAATCTTTTATCTCTCTCTCAATCTCTACTCTCTCTCTCTCTCTCTCTCTCTCTCTCTCTCTATACTATATATTTATATAGTATATATATATATATATAATATATGATATAATATATATTGTGAGTACCGCGGGAAACGGTACTCTCACGACAAATAAAAATGATATTAAACGGCGGCGGCGTGATTCGGGCAACTTCGTCCGCCCGAAGTTGTCCGGGAAATCGCTCTCCCTCGGCGTTCGACTCCGCTAGCCCCCCAACGCAATGCCAACGATCTCGCCGCGGTCCACCGACCCCGCCAGTACAAGCAATGTCACAGTTACCAGCATGCCAACGCGCAAGTTGCGTTCCGTCGGCAGTTCCCGATCACAGCAGTTCTTCTTCAATCCACTCGGAATGTTCGCACGTGCGGCCCGCTACTGCATCAACACCCGGCCGACAGGAACGCGTGTCTGTCGGCCACTCACAGCTCCAATATTAATGTTTTCCAACTTGAATCCGGTCCTGGGGGCGCACTTTCCATTCTCCTAATCGATCTGATTGTCGATTTTTTATCACCGTCTAACCTCCCACTTAATGTTTACAGTCATTCCACACTGTGGTAATATCACTAGAACTTGCTGTTGAGCAGCCCACAGCCCGTCCGTGTTTGCGCTCGCGCTTCTCTGCCGGATACTCTCACCGGCGCTCGCGGCCTCTCGGCGTTACTTTTGCCCAACCGTTCACTCGCCTCGCCCGTCTGCCCCCCCCGATTTTGACCGTTGTGGCAGCGGCGGCGCGGCGCGGCGTTACTACGTGGTCGATTTAGCTGCTTCTGTTAATTAGAATTAGTAATCAATTTGCTTGTTACTATGCAGAAACGTTCTTCGATTTCAATAGTATAGATATATAAATATATATATATATATATAATATATATATATATATATCTGTACCTCTCTATTTCTGTCTCTCTGCATCTCTTTGTCTTCCATACTCTCTCTCGCACATACGTTCTCACTATGCCTTCCTCTGTACATCTCGTATGTGTAACTCTCTTTTTTTTATCTCCACCCGCTGGCGTCGTTAGCCGACGTGCTTGACCCTACAAATACGAAGGGGGCATCAAGAAACCCACCAACGATATGCTTTTAGTTCCCTTTATTCATTCGCTCTGTATTACTGTGAATGAATATAATTTTGAATAATACTTTACCGGATGGATAGCTGTGATCCATTAGACATTTTTCGCCCAAACGTTTCATATGCGACTGCGGCAGACATCTTCAGTGGCTACTGGTACACGCAGTGACCTTTCCGATAGCTAACTTGTAACTGGTAAACATTTCTTCTTTGTTTGGGGCACTTGTGTTGGCTGCTGACGGTTAGGCTACACCAGACGAAGCGCGGGTAACCATATCGAGTGAACTTTTATCCCTTACTCGTCTTTATAAAAATTTAAATGATGTTTAAGAATCTAAATGGCCTCATGGTGTAGACAGGCATGACTGTGTTCCATACGGGATAAAACATCCACATCTTCAAATTTAATGTCGTGCTCACACCATTTAATGTCGTTCGGCCTGTGCAGACATTTCAGGTTGGCCAAAACAACAGTTCCTTTTATGTTCGGAGAGACGGATGTTAATGCGCCTTTGAGTGGTCCTAAAATATATATAGCGCTGCAAGAACAGGGGATCTTATAAACGCCTGTTGAAGATAGTGGGTTCTTGCATCCTTGGCCGATCTAAACAAGTTTCGTAGCTGGATTGTGGGCTTGAAATTCACTGGCAAACATTTCTTCTTTGTTAACTGCGCTGGGTCACTGGTCATTGTCGACTTTAGGTCTTCTGGTGTTGACTGCTGACGAAGAAACAGTGTCACTGCGTGTACCAGTAGCCACTGAAGATGTCTGCCGCAGTCGAAGATAAAACGTTTGGTCGAAAAATGTCCAACAGACCACGGCTATCCAGATCGGAAAGTATTATTAATAATATATCCAGCCGTGAAAGACTACATCGTTTTAATGAATGTAATTGTTGTGGCAGTTTTTTTCTTCGTTTTCCACGACAATGGCAGAATATTTGTGTTTCCCTTTTTTTAAATTTCCTTTTTGCTAGTGCGGGCTATCCCCCTTCGTAGAAGAGGTAGTTTATTCATTGCGCTATTAGTCGACGACAGGTAGTGCGCGTGGATATGGACACAGCTGGTGATGTTCAACGCCTTCCACGTTGTCTTCGCATGGGGCAAATGTCCTCAAACTACTCCACCTCGACCGCTTAGAAAAAAACCCTCATGGCGTCGCTTACCTCGGGAGGCGTGGCTAAGCCATCCTCCACTGCTCCCGAAGGGGAGCTCAGTTGAACACAAGGACGCCCTGCAACGATAATTGATTCGCTCTTGTTACTTAGTTCTTCGCTTCGACACTCAAGGGTTCGGGACGTTCGTCAAGGCCAGGCCGTCTTCGCCCCGCCCGCCCAGACCCGGGCGGCAGCGGCGGTGGCTGTTCAAGACAAGAAAGTTGAGCTTCTAAGTGAGGGAACGTTCGCCTCCGCCACTTTTTGCGCTTGGTCTTTTCTCTAAGTGGTCGAGCTATAGCTTAGCCGGTGCGGCTTGCGCGTGCAAAGATGTTACCGGTGGTGGGGATGGTGGCTTCTCAAGGTAGGGAAGTTGAGCCTGTAAGTGAGGGAACCTTCCCCTCCACCACTCTTTATGCAAGCGCTGGCCAGTTTTTTTTGTTTTCTAAGTGCTCAAGCTATAATTCTCCCTCTATTTTCCCACTAGGAGCGCCTGACTGATCCGGTGTTTGGTAACCGGTTTAACCCTGGAATACTTGCGTGGGATACACGTCTCCGGGTTGCTAATTCTCCCACCATTCTCCCATAATTCAGTATTCCACCAGGAACGCCTGGCGTACCCTATATTTGCCGACCGTTTTAAATGTTACCGCAATATGTACTTTTTTTTACAAAATAAATACATAATTGGTTTGGTGTACACTCAGCATAATTATGATGGACAAGAGTGTCAAAAGGAAAAAACACATACGCCTTAAACGAGGGAATAGAACTGTCACTCTGCGTGGTGTCCTGAGACATTTCAGTTGAAGTCTAACGGGTAATAGAGGAATTAATGAATGAGGAATATTACTGCAAATTAAAACAATTGAAAATATATATTACCACTGGTGAGTGGTTGTGTTTTGCGTAATTTTAATTGCGTAATGTGAACAGTTTCTATTTTGGAACGAAAATTGGCCAATTCTTTCTCTTTATGATATTAATTTAAATATTGATTTTAATTTCATCCAGGCGTGAATGCGTTGCTAATTCGTATGTTATTCCTAAACCTGTATTGGATGATTTTCGTAAGGAAAAGTGTGTTATTTTATTGGATGATACAACAGGGGCGAATTTTGGGTGGAGATATTAAACATCTTCTAGTCAAATATGTATATTGAAGATTTTGTAAAACGTCGCAAACTACACGTAATTCATGCTGCGATACGATTTTATTTGTTTTAATGATAATACGAAAATATTTTTACTTGAAAGTTTCGTGACAAGTTAAAATTAATAGTTACTGAAAAGAAATTAGGAGGGGGGAAACTTCCCTCATTTTCCCCCCTCCTTGGATCCTGGATATACACCCACACACACACACATATATATATATATATATATATATATATATATATATATATATATATATATACATGTATACATGTATACATGTATATAGATATGTATGTATATATGTATATATATATATGTATATATGTATATATATATGTGTATATATGTCTCCCCAAAAATGACAACGTGAGTAAAGGTATTTTATACTTACAATGCCAATCTTCTCCGCAATACAAGCGTAGAACAACTGTAGACAGAAAGAAAAGTTATAATAAAAATAGTGGAGTCTTGCGTAGGTATGATGGTATTTGTGGTGGTCCTTTCCCCTCTTCGTCATTCTATTTCGTCATAATTCATAATTCAAGGTATAACAACCTTGTCTTACTACAGCCGATACAGCTGAAAAGCTGATCCCTACAATATCACACGTTAATCTTTCTCCTGAATAGAATATGGCGACCTCGGAGCCTAGAGGCGTGTAGCGTGGTGAGAAATGTCAGACACACGAATAATAATAATAATTAATAATAAATAATATAAAATATAATAATAAAAACCAATGAAAATCTAGTGTTTCCACTTTCTGTGATTGTTCCGTAGAGTTCTTATTATATCGAAATATTATTATGTAATTTATTATATAATATTAATAACATTCAGTACTTTAGTCTTCACGTGCTAAACATGCACCTCGTTACAAAATGACTGCATTTTATGTTTATTTCCTATCATATAAGAAACATATAATACATTATTGGTAAATTTGAGTACAACAATCCGATCATGTAAGTTGCATCTGTCAGTACCGATGCCTGGTACAAATATCCAGATGGTTCAATGACCAATGATGATCCATACAACGTACTTCCTCCAAACCAATATGTATAATATAAATAATATATATAAATATAAATTATATATATATACATTGAACCACAATTTCATTTTAATTATTGGGAATTCGGTAAATGCGATTCTTGAGCTACGTTTTTAGAAAATCTCGCTGATGTAAAGAATTTAAGTAAAATTGTTACAAAATATGTGGTCGTGAAAAGAAAGAACTAAACTACTAAATTCATTCAGCACTAAATTCATTAGATACCGCACCGATACATCAAAAAATTGGAAAAAAGTTTTTAACTTTCCCAAAATATTGTTTGCCGTCTAAGTATTTATAGAGTATTTCCATTAATACGGTAGTTTATTTTTCTTTACTGTGATGCTAATATCTTGTATGATGTGTTCAATCACAAAACACATCTCGTTTCGTTCGTATTTTGGATTCTTTTATTCCTTAATGGACACGAGACTTAGGAGAGCTTCTGGCGGAAACATTTTTAATAGGGAAATTTTCTAGAAAACATTGAGAACTATTTGACAATTTATTCATAAAAATGCCCCAGTGTTGTTCCCTCACAAAAAGGTTTTGAGAAAGTCATTAAAATCATATGAAGATTTTGTGATTTCAAACCCAATAAACAATGAAATACATTTGCAACATAAATATTGACAGCACCTAAGGAGTTTGGAAAAATTACAATGGTGTAACTTTTCACAATTTGAACGATTTAATGAGGTACTTATGCCATGGACATCAGCGCATTCTTTTGTATTCGTACAAAAAGTTTCAAGAAACAAAACTATTTTTGAAAAATTCTTAACGAATTTTAAAAAAATTCTACTTGACGTAATTCAAAGTGCTAATATTTGAAAATGAATTTCTTAGAAAAAATATTTCCAGCTTCATTAATAAAGATATAGAACAGGTGGAGAAAAGGTTGAAATATGCATTTTCCGAAGTAAAAAAGTTTTAAGTAAAAATGGGAAATATTTCTTTTTGTAAACGTTCCGTCTTTTGATTTTCCTAAATTCAATTCTGCGGCTACAGAGCAAAAATCTTTTCCGACTCCCTTCTCTCTTATGGATTATCACCGATCTCCAGATAATACTTGTACATCACACCTCCTCTATTCACCTCATATCTCGCTTGGTCAAATGTTTCAGAGACATCCTCAAAATCAAATGGCCGCCACGAGCACTGACATTGGCTGGATGAGCGTATAGTGTGGTTGCCTTATCTATGCAATGCGTGTATCTACGCGTATAGTGTGGTTGCCTTATCTACGTCTGTCGGCCACAATCCCTCTGCATTTCAAAACGTTGCAGAGCCTCTAACAGAATCTCACCTGAACTTTCTCGGGCACCTCCGCGCTGCATTCTTTCTGGTATTCCTCTGAAATCACAGAAAAATGTGACGTAATTAGATATTTCGCGATTCATTCAAATTAATTTGGTATACATTGTAACTGTATAAGATAACGATTCAAGTGTTTTTTTCTTTCACGAAATCTGTGATTAAGAAAATAATTTCTGCGACTTTAAGTTCTCAATTATAGACACTAGGACAAATCTACATGTTTGATGCAATATTTTAACTTTTCTGATGAATACATTCCATCTAAACAAACAATTTTCTAAAGAGATCAGTGCTACCCCATTCTCCCTACTCATTGACTCGTGTCCGTGAACCGAATCACCAGACATAAATAGGATGTACTCACCCTCTGTGCAGTTCGTTTTTTTCTCGCACTCGGTCGCCATGTCCTTTAACTTCTGCGCATCTTTCTGGCATTCGTCGTCGCATTTGAACTTTGATTCTTCGCTTCCACTAGGGAACGCCATCTGTGAGAAAATAAAACTCCCGAGAAATTAGTCTCTCTCTGTCTCTATTCCTCTCAGGAAATGTTACCGCGAGGAATTCGGCGGAAGTAAGTGAAATGGCACTTAACATTTTTTTCTTTTTTTTTCAATGTTTAAAAAAATCAGTTTTCAACCAACATTAAACCTGCACCATTTTCTTAAACGTCCTTCAGATTATCAAAAAAACAAATTTAATCAGAATTGATGGAGCTTTTTTTTAATTTTGAAAATGTTCCAGGGGCTTCAGGTAAAGTACCCCCCAAAATTAAAATATCGGTTTTAAATTTAAGGACCTGCAACATCAGCCAGATCGATTGAGAAATGTCAATTGTGTAGAAATTCGACAGAACGGTTTAGCCGCTACCGTTCTTCAGAGAGACGGACAAGAGATGGAGTGTGTATGCCGAAAATTCGCAGTTTTTTCGCCGAGCACTACATAACTTTCTCTTCTTAAGAAGTTCCTTCTTAAGCGCAAGAAAGTAAAATTGATGCACCCAGAAGTAGTGGTCCAATATTATCCCGTTTTGGTATATGTGCATACCATTGATATTATTAGATTGACACGTGTCTGTAATGAGAAGAACGCCCGCCAGAGTGCATTCATGACGTCACCGCTCTCTTGTTGCGCAGTTGTTATCTGTCAACTGTTTTGAATCAGACTCTGAATAACGACGTATACCTACCGTAAGAAGCACCCACGATGTCACGTTCGACAGCGTATCCACCAATTGACTGCATTTGACACAGGCCGCATTATAGGACTTCATGAGTCTGGTTGGTCGTGCAATTGCTAGGCACACATGAGGACACACATGCACGTCGTGTAGCTCGGGTCGCCCAAGAAACACAACCCCCAGGGAGGGCTGTCGTGTAATGACGAGATTGAAGGACAAAGTTTTACAGCCAAAGAACGTCAGACGGTTAGAGAGGTTTCTCTCTCTAGATACATTGCTGGGCCACTGCTCCAGATGGAATAAGCTTTAATCATCGTCTGATCTTCCAACATGTGTGATCCTACAGCGCTTGTAAGTGTAATTGTGACTGTGAAAGGACAGAGGAGAGGACAAGGATGAGGAAAGAAAGATGTCACGCGGTTCGTACTTTATTTATTACGCACTGCTCCGCGTTAGGTCTGATTTTGATCGAAGAAATCATGGGGAAAATACTGAACTAGTGAGCCCGCCGCCAAAAAGAGTACTCAACGAAAACGTTTCAATTAACAAAAATGCCTATTGCGCAGGCGTACACTCAATTCAAATAATGTTCCTGATAGAGACTACGACGTGCATTTATTTATTGTTTCTTAATGTGTTAACTCTAATTTGTTTTTGTCTAAGATTTCATTTCACTTCAACGCATGCTCTTCTCTGCATAAAAGAAAATTAAACCCTTCACGGAAAAGCAATAACAGCATAATACAAGGAATTATTACGTCAGGCACACAAAAGAAGTTACTTTATTCTAAACAGTATGACGTATGACCCGATTTCAATATCTTCTTCCGGAAAATCATAACATTTTAAGGAAAGAATAGATCAGGCAAAAATAATGAAAAATGTTAAGGATATTTTGCACGCGAGTAACAAAACTACAAAAGAAGCAACAAACTTAAGTTTTCGGAGCACGGAAGGGTTGTAAATTAAATCCTGATTTTAGCACATTTCATTAAATTAAATTAATTATTTTTTTTCAATTATTTTTATTAATAATTGAGGCTTCTTCGGTTAAACACGAGGGAACGAAACCCTCTTGGGAAAGTGTAAGATTCTCCGGTTGACTTCAAGATTGCGTTAATGAAGACGAGGAAAAATATACGCTCCCATCCACTTCCTGTCTCAGCGCTCTCGGTTGAAAATCGTAGAATTAATTAATAGATTGATTAAACAGTCTTTTCTGGCACATCAACCGCTTAGACCATCATTCCTATAAGTGTAGTGCGTTATATTCGCTGGAGAAGTGATCAGGATTAAAGAACAAGATACTTGGAGCAATAACAGGGGTAATCGAATGCTGCTGGTTCCTCTATCTTATAAGGCATGCGAGTTTTCACCATAGGATACAAGGCCTCTCAAACGTTCACATACATCCTGTGCTATATATGTAAAGCCTCACTCCGTGGCGCAGTGGCTTGGAACAGCTTTAGGGTACGCGGAGGCGACGTCGGGGGGGTTCGAACCCTCTGTAAGGCATAGGTGTTTCTACCGTGTGATTCGGGAATTTCGACACGATCACATAAATAGGGGTGTGGAGCCAAGATATGTGGAGTTGAACTCTGCGAGTTCGAATTCTCAGTAAAGCATGAGCGTTTACATCATACGACAAGAGGTTTCTCACACGTTCACACACACACACACACACACACACTCACACACATTATATATATATACTATATATTTCGCAATTGATGTAAACCCTCCGTCGATGGCGGTGGGGCTGCGTGGAGGCTAAAACTGAATTCGAGATATAACATATTCTGCAAGTAAATGACTTTGGCCGTCTCATATCTGAAGTATCACATCTGAAGATCAACTTCTGCCATTCGTCTCCCATCATCATTTAGTTCTCATGATCACTCTTGTCATCTCCTATATTATTTCCCTTATACATTACTTTTGCCATACCAGCCCTGAGGAAGACCACGACAGGATGGTCGAAACGTCGGCAACTCAGCCTTCGACGCGGCGTCACCCGGACAGCCCAGATCACCCACTTCACAAGGGCTAGTCCAACCCCTGAGAAATGTCCTAAACCATACCTCTATCCTAATTCCTGTCCAATTCTAACTGCGTGACGCAGGAACGCGTAGTAGGAGGAGCGTATGCGGAGATGCTAACTGGCGGTCCTCTTGACAGCTGACTGTGACGAGACGTGACATATAAAGACTTATCCAGGAAATGGAGGATTGCTCCAACGGAGGAGGACGCGCACTAATTAACGGAGGATTATTCTAAAGCGCTTAACGGCCCCTAAGAGACTTGGAGACGCGTTGCGTCAAATCCAGAGGCAACGCCCTGATAACAATTACGTACCCCAGGGCCAGTAAAAAAAGTCCAAAATCCTGAGTCATTGAAAAAACGCAGAATTCGTTTTTTTCGGGTGATCCTATCCATTTTCTCGTAATTCCATCCATTGTGAATATCTCTCCAAAGATCGGCAGACGTACTCACCACGAAACAGACGAAAGCGGCGAGGACGGCGGCGATGTAGTACCTGCAGGAGGCCATGGCTGTTTGTGGGGCATTCCAACGCCCCCTATATGTTTTTATAACCCGCGGCCGGGCAATCGGTCATCCATCTTCAGGGGACACTTCCGTCGCCCCCCC